GGGGGGGGGGGGGGGGGGGGGGGGAGGGGAGGGGGGGTTGGGGTCTGGTTTCATTTTGGGGGGAAGCAAAAACCTTGAGCTCTGCAGTATCAGCAACAGGTTGCACACATCTGAGAAATTAAACCTAATTGCATTTGTCTTTAAGCGTAACAAAAATAATTTATTGCAAATTACAGGACAAAAAATGTAGGTCTTGTGAATGGTCTGTATCAGTGATGCCTTTTCCGGGAGCCCCTTAGAGTGTTGTTCGACTGGCTCTTAATTACTTAATTTAATTAATTGCTTGCATGGAGTTGGGGCTTCCAGGCTTCGGACAGACCCCAACTAACATTTACATTTATTTATTAAGCAGATACTTTTGTTTAAAGAGACATACGTGTGAGGAAAGTTTGGGTTACAGAGCAGGACTGTGCACCATCCATAGGGGCTGGATAGAGGGGTGGGGTTTAGATCCATGGGATTCAAACCCACGACCTTCTGGACACTGGTGCAGATCAGTGATGCACTGAGCTGCACACCACCAGCCAGCTAGCCATGAAATAGGCACGGAGCCAATATTAGTCTACATACTCTGCAGTGGGAAACATGGCATGGGGGGGACGTGCTGTTTTAAGATGTAACAGCACAGTTTCAGTCTCACAGGGAAACACTGAAAGACAGTAGGTGGCTGGTTTTAATGGCGTGCTCTCCCCCATATGGAACCGTTTTCAAGGTGCCCTTGTCTGACTGCGTGGCACTTGCTCTTTAGTTAAACCACTAATTATGAAATTTAATAACACTCTTTATTTACTCATTTACCACAGCGCAAAGAGTAGAAACACAGCACCCTTGCTGCGACCGGTCCGCTACTCTGGCTCGATCGCACGCTGTGGAGCGTGTGCCTCCCGAGGGGGATGGGCTGCTTTTTTTCACCCGCTGGCCTTTGTCTTTCCATCAGACCCCTACGGCTCGCTGCCCCGGATTAAAAATCCAGACGTGGGGGGCAGTTTGTGCCAGTTTATCTCGAAAAACGTTTGTGGGGAGCCGAGCAGACGGCAGCTCCAGTAAGGACAACGCTGCGGTTGGGGTCTAAGCCTCCTTCCCAGAATTTCCTGAAGTCTGTCGTTTAGCTCCGCATGGTTTGCTTCAGAAGCTATCAGTTATTAGAGGGATCAAATTGTTAGGTAGCTTTCTGGTTGGTTGAGTCTGGCTTCCCTAGTAAACCATGTTTGCTACGGCGGGAGGGAATAATCGATGCCTTAAGGTCTCACTGGTCTCCTAGCTGGAATTCGGTCCTCGGGGCCCACAAACAGTCCATGTTTTAGCTCCCTTCCAACTCCCGCAAAAATGTGGACCTGTTGTGGGTCCCCAAGGACCAAACTGGGAAACACCGGTGTAATGGAATCAGAAAGCTGAGGTTCCTGCTGCTTTATTTACAGATTTTTTTCTATGTTGACAATTAGAATCTTTTTTAATCCGCATGTTTTATTCATCGCCTTTTACCGATTGTCGTGAGTACGTTTTTTTTCTTGCTCGATTTTTCACTGTTGGTAAATGGAGAGTGCAGACTTTTCCAATTACCATGCCGCTGTGTGACTTTCACCAGTTCTTCACCAAGTCAAGCTCTCGGGCCAAATCAGGTCAGCCCTTTCCAGGATAGGTGAGAAGTCGAATGACCACGAGGACCTCGTGAACTGTGTGCATAACCCGCCGATCGCAAACCGACCTCGCCCTCCTCCTCGCTGCTGTTTGTTCCCGTACCCAGCATTCAGCACTGGCCCGCCACAAGTGCCACTCAGGCGACAGAACGTAGGTGTGGGCTGACCCACGTCCCGGTGTCGTGAAGAATTTTGAGTCATGAAATATTTTTCCACGGGAGCGCGGACGATCGCTGGAGGCTGCAAAGTGTCTGGGGAGGGCCGGTGCCTGACCAGCAATGACATCAGCTCTCTCTTTCACTCACTTTCCACATGGCGGGGCACGCTGACCTGCGTTTCACCTTGAAGCATATGCCTGGTTCTGTAACGGGCACCGTCCGCCAGTTAAGGACACAGCAGTCTCCTGGACTAGACTCCATGGCTCCTGGATTATCTGCAGCTCTCTGCAGGGTTGTTCGTGAAAAATGTGCTGAACTCACCTTCCCTTTGAAATGTATAAGAGGTAGGTGTTAAGGTGGCTTTGACACTGCGGCTCCCGGGATAGGCTCCGGGCTTGTCGTGACCCTGCTGGCCAATCAGGATGGAAGACGGATGGAGTTTATTTAAGGCTGCTCTCACAGGACCGTGTCCCGCTCGCATTGTAAAGAGAAACCCAATACAGCCCTACGTCTGGCTGTGGTTGTGGTCAGCTTCCTGTTCACACGGGGCGATAGGATGGAGACAGCTCAGAGGCCAGCGATGACACAGCCAATGGCCAAGTGCTGAATTGTTGTGGATTTTAGATTTTAAGTATGCTCACAATTTTTGTCAAATTTACATGGGTAACAAGGGTAACAAACATTTTACAGTGTTTATCCAGGGACAGACATAGTCATGGACCTGACATTGCAGATGACCCTTAATAATATATCCTTTTACTGTTCTGTTGCCTTTTCCACTGCTATTAATCTGCGAAAACGTAACTGTCCCTTTATCAGAGAGATGTTGGTAGTGGGTGGGGGGTGAGGATCTTTTCATCTGCTGGCACCTATTATTACGGCATCTGTATTGCCTCTCCTCACAGTTAAATGAGCTCCACATGACGAAAAAATGTATTGTTTTTTTTTCTTTTTCTTCCCCTGTACCCTCTACAGGCGTCTCGCAGGAAATGACCTGACACACATCACTAAAGGGGCTTTCTTGGGCCTATACAACCTCAAAGTGCTGTAAGT